GGTCGTTTTAGGCTGAAAACACCAAATTAAAATCAGTTTTAGTTTAGCGTTGGCCACAAAATGAGACATTGTCATATATGAAAAGAATGTGCTCACATGAAGTAATGAGAAATTGAGAGAGATTATGTGGATGACATGTCATAGTGTCCACCATTAAAAACCTGAATCTGCTACAACAAAAGCCCAGTACAAAGAGAAAGCTAAGTACCTGGCTTTGATATTTTGCCTACCTTTTCCAAAGTCCATAGCAGTAGTGCTTCTGGCACTTTCCATTAATAGCGGTTTTCACGTAACATATGTAACTTTATTCATCACTTGTTTGTTAGCTAGTAGTATGTTTGGTCACCTTTGACTTAGTGTGGAACAATAAGGGGTGTTTTGTTCCCATAATCACACCTGTAACGTAAATTAAATATTTTATTTTAAAGTTTAAAAGTTATGGAATAAATTACTTATGATAGTAGCCTCTATAAGAACACGATAAAGCAGACAGTTTATCCAAAGAGGTCGATGTTTTCACGTTTCCTTCATCCACAGCTTTTTCCGAATACCTTTGTGGGAGTACTCAGGAATTTTTTCTGGGCTAATCGGTATGCATGAATTTTTGTTTGTCTTTTGTTGTTGTTTTGTTTTGTTTATTTCACTTAATTTTCCCTTGCATGAACATGCTATACTGATCGCCCGTCCCTGTCCCCCAGATATAAGTTCAGTCCAATATTTGTGTAATGTGTAATGTCGTGAATTAGAGGACAACAAGAGGCGCCCTCTTTACATCATATATTAACATGTTAACAGTAAGTTCGGAAGTCAAGTACAAGGACCACTCATAACCCATGATATGAATGTGTGATGCGTGAAAGGTAGACCACGCGAACGGGGAAATTTCCCCTGCTCTTTTCGAATAGTAGTGTGGGTTCTTTTACGTCCCTTTACCAACTCCCCTCTGTGAATTTTGACATGTCACTGCGCCCAACTATCATAACCTGAGATCAGGCTCAAGTTTAGCGGTTTTCATACATTCTCTCCGTAACATCACGCACAGGTAACTATAAGGTCAATCGTAAGGGGCATAAGAAACCCATAAGAAACCCGCCTATCAGAAACGCTTACATATGTCCTTGCGACTCTGCAGGATATTAGAACGATCTTTTGTGCATTAATTCGCAGACGGACTTTACAGATGGTTTAGACAATGCATCGCAGGCTACCAGTCACAGACAAGCATTCGCATAAGTCGTGGAACTTTTTCGTGTACATGGACACTTATACGCCGTACCTATTCCCACCTTATAATCCAGCCTTCTATCCTATAACCCATCAATTCTAAACTGATGAACAAGTAGTCGGCTATTCATGACCTCATGATCAGTTTTTAATATCATTCCCACAGATGAAAGGCGTGTGGTTTAAAGTCATCCCCGGGGTCCTCCTCTTGTCCCTAGGAGCTTGAGAATGGCCTAAACTCAGACTGACAATGATATGTAAACGAGCGATAACCGAACTCAGGTGGTCAGAGGTACTTAAAGAAAAAAAACACCGGAAAAAGGTGCGAGTCGATCATAATTAGGGTAGAACCAAGACTTGAATTCATAATCCCAAAAATACTTCACTTATCCTTTATCCCCAAAATTACTTTGTCAATTATCCGTAATCCCTTAAAACCCTTAATCTGACAAGCGCGGATTATTCCGCGCTTATGACATCATGGACAAAAAATGCCTCTAACATGAAGAGAATTGCTCTCAAGGCAGCTTTCAGCCTCGTTTTGATGTTTGAGGTTGTTTTCGAGTCTTCTGAAATTTTTTGAGGTAGTTCTCTTCGATATATCGCTTGAATTTGCCGGTTTTTCGTCGAACTTTCGATTTAAATGCCCGGAATGGTATTTAAAAATGGCGTAGGTAAATCAATCTTTACATTTCAACCTACCACTGAGTCATTTTTCGCTTAAAATTGCTAAAACATCCGCAGAGGGATAACAACATGGCTGGGCGCAGAACAAGAAATTACACTGCGGACGAAGTTCGCAGGATTGTCATGGATGTTCCCGATGATAGTGATATCTCTGAGTTTGAAGGCGAAGATGGAGATGATGCAAGTGATATGTTTGAGCCTAGCTCGGACTCTGATGATTCAGACAATTCTGAAAGGGCTATTGAGCACGAAGATAATTCGCTAGATCAGTCGAGTGACGGTGAAGGTGAAGCACGGCGAAATGAAACAACAACATCCACTAGAGGAAGATTAAGTGGAAGAAGCCGAGGAAGGCCACGTGGAGGAAGGGTGCGTGGAACCACTACAAGAAGGGTGCGATCACGATCCCCTGTAAACCGGGTTAGTGCAGAAGTTTCAACTGTAAGGTGGGGAAATCTTGATCAGGATGTTGTTGTTTCATTTCCTGATTTTAGAGGACAACATGGTCCTGTCACCATTCAAGTTACAGAGTCTGAGCCATATGATTTTTTCAGTATTTTATTTCCAGAAGAACTCTGGGATGTTTTAG